TTGATTTAAATCCATTTTAGTCCAATTACGTTGTCCCAGCGTATCAGCAATAATTTATACCATGATAGAAATAATAATTTAGACCACGAAAATCCTTTAAAATAATTTTTTTCACTTTTCTTAAACGCAGTCACGTTAGTTTAGTAGTTAATTTCAGGATAGTTTGGTGGTTCTGAGCGCTCCCTTTCTGGGAGCAGAAAGGTCCGTGGATCGATCGCCCGAAGAAAATATTTTTAAGAACTGGTCTGAATAAAAAAAACACCCCGAGCATATATCTTCTTTACTTTCTTCGAAAGTCGAAACAATAAGTGTTGCTCGCAAGTATATGCCTGGCCATTCACTCATAGCTCGTTATGGAGGTGTTTTGATTCTCGAAGAATTTTTGTAAGCAACGCAACAACTGTTATTGTATTCATTCCAAATATGTCACATATGGACTTAGGTAGGCCTTTTAGAAAACTTTTAAAACTTCCAATCAGATTTTTTTCTGACCAATAATACTTATATTTACTTCATTGCTGAAAGCTGAGTCTTTTTTCAATTGTAAATCAAAATTTTACTAAACATTAATTTTGTCAAGAGGAAACTTGTTTAAAGATCCTCTTTAGCTTTCCGAATAAAAAAATTCCAGAACACCTCTCTGACGAACTTCAATTCAATAGTCAAATTATCGCAAAACTTTAATCAAAAATCTTAAAATATAGACGAACAAGTCAACAAATTATGAACCGCCAATTTCATCTTCTCAAAACTATAAGTTACAACGTTTTTGTCCCGTGACTGCATGAAACATATTTTAAAGGTATTGTTTATAAAAGTAGACCAAACGCAGAAAATTAGTTTTTGCTTGTGCTGATTTTCTACAGTCGCTTATATTCGTAACTTATGAGCAAGATTCAAAAAATCGTCGGACAAAACAACAGGACTCTCATTTTAGTTTTACAATTTTATAAGAGCAGTTTTTCAGAGCAGCAGTACTACAATTGTTATCAAAAAACAAAAAAAATGAATCTGAATTAGTGCTTTCTGTTTTCGTTTTTACGTCACACCTAATTTATAGATTTTTTCTAGTATTGCTTTGTTATGAAAAGTTTTTTATAGTCATCTAAAAATCATTTGTTTTGTTGGCATTATATTTCTGACGAATTTTGATTACCTATTATCTTATTTTATCACGCTGTCCTTCTAGAAGCTATAAAGTGCGTTCTTTTGCTTCAAATTAAATTTGAACAAAGAAAACTATAATTTATTATATTTTTAATATTTCCTTGTGGTAGAGAATTTCTTGGAGAAAAAAAAGATAACAGGTAATTGAAACCTTCAGATGAACATTTTGTAAATATTAATTTCCGCGCCGGAAAAAACTAATTAACGCAAAATATGTTTGGAAAATGTTTGAAAAAGTGTAATGTTTCAATGATTTAATTCCAAAAAGTGGACAAATTCAGGGGAAAAAATCTATTTAAACTCGTCGTAAAAACTAGATTTTCAATAGTTTTTCCACTATCACTGCCTGAAACAGTATTTTAGTTTTATGAAGATCGATTTGTTATAAGTTCGTCTTAAATAATGCTGAAAATTACACTGCCGAAATAATGCTGAAATTAAGTTTTTACCTTCCCTCTAAAGTTTTTTTTTAAATGTTGACAAAGGATGCTCCAATGGCCTTCTATTGTTATTGTAGCACACACATATCCGAGAAAAGTTTCCAGCACAAATTTCTAAGTAATTTTGGATTACATTTTATGATTGCTGCCTATAATTGACTTCAGCCAAAGAAGCTTATAAAAATTTTCAACTATAAAAACATAAAACATAAAACAATTTCAATATAAAACGTTTCAAATATATTTTTCAGTTTCTGTGTTGAATTTCAAACTAAATCTTCTTCCAAATTTTTTATTGTATTTCACTACAATTTTTTATTGAACTCTTTTTTTTTTGTATTAAAAACGTTAAGCCCAAATACCACTCAAAAAAATTTTGGCATGGAGTTGAAGAGGCATTGTAAAAAGCGATTTCCCTAATTTCGTGATTGAAGTGACTTCTTACAATGCCTCACTAAACTACTAGACATGGTTATTTCTGGAATGAATTTTTGGCCAAACCTTTTTAAAACACAGTACTAATGTTTTGACACTACCTAGATAAAAGTTTAAAAAAATTTGATGATTTGGAAAAGGGTTTGGTTTAAACTGATACCATGAGAATTGAGAATGATTTTAAAAAGTAATTTAAAAATGGGTTATGCCTCTTGGGCTAAAATCAAATACATGCAGCAATTATATAATAAAAAAAAATTAGTCGAACAGAGCAAGATTTTTTCTTATATATATGTGCAAACAGCAGAATGCCAACGGAGGATTATCTGAGTATCCGTGTATATGTACATATAATTTTTTCTAGAGGGAGTTAAAATTTGAGTTTAGTTTAAATTTTTGATATTATATTGGTAGAAATTGAAACCAATCAATCTTTTCATTAAAAAAGCTACCGTTTGATAGTTTGATAGAACAAAACAAAACATTAAAAACTTTTAGTGCACGATGATTAAGTGCTTTTACTTTTTTTGAAGCGAGAGTAGTATCAAAAGTTTTTCTTGAGATTAGCTGATCTAATGAAAACATGACTGCTCGTATCAGGGCAAATCCCTAAATGTCCCGACTGCCTTTTATCTGGTCTCGAATAGTTTTTGGTATATGAGTTTCCACAAACTGTGGTTTTCGGCCTGATAAATCAAGTTTTTAGTGTTATAATTCGAGTCGTGTATGGATTTAATAAGGCCAATTAGCTTGTCTCAATTCAGTTTGGAACGACTTTCTTGTGCAGGATAATTCACCACCCATAAATCATTTTCTTTATACGTTTTCAGCATAAAATTATAAAACAAGCAGCTTAGGTAGAATCACAATAGGTCAATATAGTGGTGTGCGCACCCGGTGGAGATCACAAACATCCAGAAATCGATCTCCCGGGTGGGCAGAAGTTCTTTTTGGAAATTTGTTCGAATAAAAAATCCACCCCGAGCATATATATTTTTGAGACTCGTAACAATAATGATCAAAAAATTCTATCATTTTAAAAAGAAACTTTATAGTTGCCAAAAATTTTGGGTTTCTGTTTTCATATTAAATGTGTGTCATTAAGAATTTCCTTGGAATGATATCGCAACACATCATTCAAAATACTTAATAATCATTGAAAAAGCAACTAATTGAAATAAAATTAATACTGGCATACATGCAGTTTTATAAGACTGCTTACTGTACTGGTGAAGTGAAAACAGTATTTGTTCCAACTTTCGAAGAAAAAACTAAATATTTTGTTTATGGTTTTGTAGTTCATTCAGTCATTTTTCAATTTTTTAACCAAACGTTTTTCACGGAATTGGTTCAAACCATGTGAAAGTTGCAGTTGTTTGGAGCTCAAAAATAAAAAAAAACAACTGTGATTATTTTTTTCAAACTAAGGGGTTTTAAATAAACTAGTTTGGCCAATTTGGGATAATTACCGCGCAATATATTGTGGTCTTATAACACGCGTAAGCGGCAGTTTCATAAATTTTAATTTGCTTGACGCTTTTGGAGTCATTTCGTCTTAATATTAACAAATGAGACGCTTAATTTATCCCTTTCTATTAAAAAGACAAAAACTACAAAAAAGAATGAGAAAAAATATATACATATTTTTCAAAGAATTTCGTCAATTTTTCTATCAAGAAACTCTTTAATTGATTTAAAGTGTAATCGGAACTTTCAAGTTTCAAGTGTTCGCCTCAATATACGAAAAGTCTTGCTGTTCAACAATTTGTGGAATTTTTATGCTTCAAGTGACAATTTTATTCAGTCAGTTTCCAACTGTTTAACTTTATATTGATTGGAATTTGGGGCTATTTTTATAAGTATCATTCAAATTAACGCGCGATATAATTCGTTCTATGAAAGCGTAAGCGGCAATTTAATCATTTCAAAAGGTTTGCTCTTTTCAATATATTACCCATCGCAAAATAGGTCACTTGGTTTTTGAAACAGCTTGTGGTGGTAATAAAATTCGGAAATAATTTTTTTTCAAAAAACTTGTGATTGACAATAGAAGTTAGTCGGAACATCACAATTTTTTGAAATCAAACAGCTTTGATTGATAATAGAGGTTAGTCGAAACATTCACAGCTTTGCCTTGTTTATGAGGAATCTTGTTATAACCTTATATTGGCAAAACATTTTTGATCTTGATCATAAACAAAATTTAAAATTCGTTTTAATGCCGTTATTACTAGTACTTCATGGTTTTGATCTTGAAGTACTTCACAGTGAAATTGATCATTTTTTTTCGAAAAATAGATTTCGGCAATGAGTATATACCGAAATGGCAGATTAGCTTGATTCTCAATTTCCAAAACACCGATTGAAGTTATTGCTACATAAAAAAATTTATTGAAAAAATTTAACCATTTAAAAAGCAAAGTTTTCAACTCCAGTTTCCTTGCTTTCTTTCACCTAGATACTAGGAGCGTTATGAGCGCTATTAAACCAATCAAAAAAATTCCAGAAGCCCATTGTACAAAAAGCCTGCGGTTTTTTTCCTTTTTTGCCAGATATTTGAAATGAAATGTTTTTTTTTCTATTCCAGACAAGAGTAGAGTTTTATCATTTTATCGAAACTTGTATGTTCTTCCCTTGTTTCAAGTCGTCAATTTCTATCCACAATTATAAACCTGCAGTAACTTTAATCAAAGCTTGTTTTACTAGTTAGGAATGATCTTACAGATCTTTGCAAATATCAACAGTCCGAGAACCTACGACAGCTAATAGAACAGCCCAGTGTTTAAATTTGCGAGATGGAAAATAAAAATCAGTCTGCTGGAAAGTTTTTCGAAACATCGAATGAAAACAAAACTGAAAACTTAAATAGAGCCCCATCCGATTCTTCAGAAGCTTCAAAACATTCGGTTGAAGCATTCTATAGTGAGTTGTCTAACTTGGAGATTCACTGGCCAGGGGGTGGCTTGGTAGGCTTTCGAGATGAAGGCGAGAACACCTTGAATAAAATGGTTCATTACCAATATCCCAACTGGAAGACTTCGGGTCACGTTACGTCAATTCCGATTGCCAGAGTCCCAAAAATTTTCTTGCACAATGTGAAATTGAGCAAAAATTTGCAGAAAGTGTTCAATCTCACTCAAAAAGGTGAAGACGGAGAAATGAAAGTTTATAAATCATTGGCCAATGATCTTAACTTAGAAAAGGAAGGATTGATCTTGCTTCCGAATGTCGACGCAAGCCACATCTTTGAAAAAACGAGCATCGGTTCGGTTGAAATTGATATGATTGTGGCACATCCTTCAAAGGGTATCTTCATATTCAATGTAAAAAACGTAAAAAAGATTAGCAACGACTCCATTAAGAAAGAATCATTAAAACACAGTCAATTTGTTCGTCATCTAGCAAACTTTGGAGTGCCAGTTCAAGAATTGCACCTTCCTAGTTCTTCAAAAACCCCGATCGATCACATGGTTCCGATACATTCTGTTATTTGTTATCTTCCTGAAGATTTGCCTCGGTTATCGGAACTGACAAAATCAACTGATCTGAAAGCAAATGAAAAAGACCAAGTATTGGTGTTTCAGAAGAGTGATTTCCAGAAAACTCAAGAATCCAGCTTTGCTTTGCATTGGAGTCGGAGGATCAAAGACATTCCAAATATGTCCAAGGAGAGCATCAAATCCTTTGATAGAGTAGTCGCGCGTCTCGTGGCAATAAACTCCATGGAAGGTGCTAATTCGTTGATCCATCAAAAAATGGTGTCAAATGACATGCAATCAGTTAAAGTTGACAACCGTGATATTGAGAAACGACTCAACGATCAGCTTAGTGACACCTTCACGACAGAAAGTGAGCAATCCAAGGACTTGAAAAACTATATGAAGAAAATCGCTCAGCCAGCTGCAAAAGGGAACCGAGTTAAAGTCATTCTATGGACAAAGGAGCAGTTGGAAGTCATAGCATTTGTTTTCAAGTTTCTGACTTGCTCCGAAAATGAAAATCCGTTGCGATTAATTGTGAATGGACCTATGGGCTCTGGAAAAACTATGCTCATGGTATACCTTGCAAGATTGCTGAAACTTGTGTTTAGCTCAAAAATGAAAGTGAGAATTAGTCATGGACATGGCTTACCACCTCAACTTTTGCTGGAACAGATACGAGCTGCCATTGAAGGATTTGACATTGAAGTCTTGAAAGAGTCGTTTTTTGAGGTGACTGAGACTATTCAAGATGGTTTGGTTTTTGTAGACGAAGTGACCTTGACAGAAAAAGAAGAACATAAAATCGGCAGAAATGTACACTGCTGTATTTTTTCACCAAATCGTTTCTACTTCGATAGAATTCCAAACTACTTGAAAGATTTCAAAGCTCTTAACTTGACGAGCAATTTGCGATCGACTCAAAAACTAGCAGAGCTCCAAGTCAACTTTTTATCATATATCCAAGATGAAGTTCATTTGAGAGGCCCTCCTTCTCATAACTTGATTGGCGAAAATAACCCGGAAGTTGTACACGTGAACAAAGAAGAATCAGGTGCAAACAATCAAAACTGTTTCACGTCAGAATGCATAAACGCAATTGAAAAATGTATGTTTCGATCTCATAGCACTGATGTCATTGCTATTCCCCTTGGATTATTGTCACCGATTACTCAAAACATTGTAGTTCGAGAAATGGTGAACAAAGATTGGAGACTTCAATCACTAGCTTTTTCTCGCCTTGATAATGATAAACTCAACAGCAAACCAAGAAACAATCTCCCCCTTATTATGTTAGAAAATTACCACACATTACATGGTTCTGAGTTTGGATCGGTTGTTTTGCTAATCGAAAAAGGTTGCCGAATGTGGTACAACGACCATGACCTTGCAAAAGTTATTACACGAGCAACCACCAATTTAGTAATTGTTGTCAATCATGCTCCAAAACTTCGGCAGATTATTGACCCTGTGGAAATAGTTGATTCTATCCACTACTTGTGATAGAAATGTTTTCAATGGTTCTGTATGTTAACCAAAAATATACCCAATTGGCCTAAAAATAAGTTTGTAAGCTACCCAGGTCCAGTCATTAAGAGGCAATACTGTTGTGTTAGCAGCTTTCTCAATAAACGCGGCTATTTTTTACATTGTTCATCTTTTGTTATATGGAATCCAAAGACAAATGGTTAAAACATAGTGCAGCTCATACCCAATTTTTTTTTCAGAAAGTAAGAAACATTTTTCTCCGCAAAACAACCAAAGCGCAGATCCGATAGACTTTTTTGGGTTATGATGTCTTTTGATGACTAAGCATACAAGCAAATTATGAACTATGTAAAGTATCAGACACAGTTTAATCAACAGCAGTTAGATGTCACGATCATTTTTTGAACCATTGACCAGTTCTATCACAAACGAATAAAGTCAAATCAAAGACTTCAATTTACCCGAGAACAACTTAGAGCTGTACTTAACAGAGTTGATATCCTATTATTACTATTTTTACAAACGCAATAACAACAACTTACCCATTATCATTTTGGGTGATATTCCCGAATTGCCTCGTTTAATTTCAACAACGCTGACAGAAGAAAGCCTTCGGATCTGCAAGGAAGGAGATGTCAAGCAATCTCTGTTCAAGCTCGAAAATGAGAATGAAGTACAGAGCAATCGCGGCGACAATTGAAATTACTTGTAAGGGTTAAGAAACTACATTGTCTTAAGTTAAGTTTTTCTAAGGGATCATTTTAGACTACTTGATTTTAAGTGATTAAACTGGCGAAAAAGGCTGACAAACTAATCGTTTTTCATGGTCCATTGAACCAATACAAAATATTTGTAATTTTGGGTTCAGTAATCGTGTGGTTTTTTAATTCATAAAATCTATGAAAATAGATTATTTTTTATGTTTTAGTAAAATGTTTACTACTTTTTGCAGCGTTCTGCAAAACTAGATCCGAGTAAACATAAGCATCCCTGTATACACCCCCCCCCCCCCCAACGTTCGGCATCCGCCTCTTTTTCTCCCCTCCCCCAAACACAACCCCCTCCACATCCTAACACCCCGTTCCACACCACCAACACCTCCTTGCACCCCCTCTCAGTTTACCACCCCACGATTTTACCCCTATCACCCTGGTTAACGTTTGAGTAAAATTGGGCGGTGGTTAAAGTGTTTTAGCGTCATGTTAAAGGTGCGATAAACATAGGAGGGTCGGGGCAAGGAAAGAAGGGAGGACAAAAGTTGGATAAAGGTAGGGTGTAAGAAACTCGCATTTGAAAAAGTGAAAATAAATCGATGATAATGGAAAGGAACAAAAGGATAAAATTGTGAAAGGAACAAAATTCAGTTTTTGAGTAACATAAAAAAGTAACAAAAGTATCAAAGTTAGGCAGAAAAAAATTAAATTGAACAACAAGTAACCAACGTAACCAATTTAAGTTTAAAACGTAGAAAAAACTTAATGTGTGTTAAAATTCGCATCTCAGTAAACAGGAAAAAAAATCGATTATAATTTATTTTCATTGTCAGTGTCCACAAAAGTGAAAAAAAATCGATTATAATGGATGAAAAAAGGATTTTGTTGCCTCAAAAATTGTAATATTATAATCGATTTGTTTTCACTTTTGTGGACACTTACAATGAAACTCAATTATAATAGATTTTTATTCATGAAACTCCGAAATCAACTGTCGAATTGTCAAAAAAAAACTGCTTTGTGAAGGAAAACTGCAGACAAACACTAGAAAAATTATCACAAACAATTTGAATCGATTATCATTGAATAAAATGAAAAACTTCAGTGCGCAAAGTTACAATTCTTGATCCAAAACTGAAAAACAAAACAACAACTTGCTACAAACAATGTTAAAAGCACTTCTTTTGAATTCATGCAAATCAAATTTATTTTAAGCAAAAAAATGTTTGTTTTTTTTTTAATTTTTAATTTTTAGAATTGTTTTTGAGTTTTTGCGTCTAGGCAAGACGGCAGCAGCTACGCCCACTAAATTGCGCAATTTATCAATTTATCTTCCTTCTAAACTGGCCAAAAAGTTTTTCCTCCCCACGAATCTTTCAACGCCAGCTTTTTTCATTGCTGAATTAAGTTTTTAAAATTTGTTTCAATGAACATCATATGACATTCATTTGAGTTTTTATTGAAAAACATGCCTGGATTCTCTACTCTCTGTGATAAAAACATGATGCCCGAAGCAGCTGAAACGCGAAATCTTAACAAGCTGTTTTTATTTGTAAAAATACTGTGGTCGTAAAACTTTTTAAATAGTTTTTAACTGGAAAGGCACAATTAAAACAAGGGCAATTTTTAGAAACTCAGTTGTCAATTTTATTAAAATCATAGCAACCCTAATATTGTCGTCGTGTGTCTTACATAACTTTGCAACCGTATTGGTTTTCGCCAACAGAATTAGTTTTTCACTACCACCTATAAAAACCTGGTTTCAAGCAGCAAAAAGAGCTTCAGTTTGTATTCAAATTCAACGGAGTGTCAGCGAAAAAGATCTAGACACGTTTTTCTCAAACTTGCGATTTTTTCCGTTGAAAGATGTCACGTGCTTGTTGAAACTCAGATGTGTCCCGCATGAGAACAACGGTGGTGAAAACAATCCGAGTATAAACTATTTCATGAATTACGGGCTCTCTAGTATCGTCACATCAGTTGAAACAAAAACATCGCCTGTTGATAAATATGTTGATGCTGCCAGGCAGTCAAGTTACTCATGGGTGGATTGGATGAGAATCTTCCAGGAGTCGGAGATCCACTACTCCAGGCTGAGAAGTATAATAATACAGGAGATGGTTTTTGCAGTCCTTGTCAAGAAACAAGCTAGTTTCAACTGGTTCCACAGTTTCTTACGTGAGGCGCGGGATCTGAAACAAGCACTAGCCGAAATCCAAACTGCCAAAGCAATTTGGTGCTTGTACTTCGAAAAAAACTACGACATTGCTTTTGATATCGCACTAGAGTCTGTAAAATTCAACCCAGAATCTCAAGAAGCTCATATCATTTGTATTGAATCGTACAAAAAATTAGTCAAAAAAATTGCACAAGAAAAATCGAATTTTTCAGGTCCATTTTCTTTGCAAGAAAAGGAAAAACTCTTGATTGATTTAGTAAATGAAAGTAGAGGCTACTCTTACGACACATTCGATTTATCTGTCAGACATTTTCGAAACGTCGCAATGGAAGGAACAGAAAAAACTGCGATTCTAAGTCTGATTTTGAACTACCAGAAAAAATTGAGATCGGATTCAATGAAGGAAATGGTCAACGATCGAGTTAATATTTCAGAAAATTGCACAAAATTCGCTAGCAAAATGCTACAGAAAGGTCTTTCATGTGATCATATGCTTCGCCAAGCTTATATATTTGCAAACTTTGGGTTGAAATCGAACCCTTTCAACATCAATTGCTACGACATAAAAGCGTCAGTGCACAAGATGAGACTTAATTTGGCCGACGAGTTGATTGCCAGACAAAGAAAAGGTCTCATTTTATACACGTTCCAGAGAATTAAAAAACTTATTTTTCATAATAAATAAGGAACTGAGCCGCCTACAACAAGCCATTTCTGATGTAGATTACTGGAACCTGATTCAAACTGTATATTATTATTGGTTATAAATTAGATATTTTATCCCTATAAAATATTGAAGACTAACCAATCATACTCCATCTAACTAACAACCCATTTATTTGTAAGTGCTGAAACTACTTGAAGTTTCAGCACCAGAGCATTCTGAATTTAACTTACAGCTTAGTTGCCTTTTCCAAGAGACCAACTCGTAACAAACCAGTAAACTCTAGATCTATTGAGACTAAGAGATATAAGAGTAAGATTAAGATCGGTATTAGACTAAGAAGTTGCACGAATCTATCCGGCCGAAAAAAGATAGCGTGACGAGCAGACGGTGTACCTTATCTGAAATTACTCTATGAGTTAGACCATCCGTCACAACTCATTAGAAATTTTTATTAATCTTTTTGCAGCATAAAATAACCTATACTTTAGAAGATCTCTTACAAATAACTTACAAATTTAGATTTATAGCTTTCGGAAATTCGAATAAGTCGTCTGAAAGGATCCTAAAATTTTGAATAATGATAACTGCAGTGCCAGATTGAAGGGGGTTGACCCCATCATGGATTCAAATCCTCGCCACCCCTTTGGAACTATTTAATATCTGGTTTTTATTGACTGACCCTAAAGTTTTCTGAAGGTGCCTCCGGTGCCAATGTATACTAACTTTGACTGGAGAGCGCGGGACGAACAACGCGAGTTTTAATTCAAAACATTTCCCGTCCAAATATTTCCGGCTTTTTGTTCAATACCTGCCTTATGGAGAAGAGTCTTGATGTCTAAACAGGTTCGTTTAGTGTTTTTTGGGGTTTTCCTGTTGTTGGCACATATCTGAGTTGATCGAGTTTGATCAGAAGATAGCTAATACAGGCCGCAACGCTTGATTAAACTTTCGGTCAAAACGAGGAGTCATTTTTAACACCTTGCGCTTGCAGTCTACTTAGTTCAGGTATCGAAATCAGCTCAATTCATTTCAAATCTGATCGACTCGATACAAATTAGTTCCTATTTAATTAGTTCAAATTAGTCCTATTGAATAAGCTATTTGCAGTGCGAGTTTCTTAATTATGTCTAGTTTTCTTCAATTTGATCTTTTCCAAGACTGTCAAAGTTGTCGAAATACTTTCTATCTCACTGATTATTTGAAAACTGATTCAGCGCTACGTCTTTTTGATTTTCAACCTTTTCACCAAGTTTTAAATTTCAGTGTTGTTCGGACTTTCGAAGAGAGTGACGAAACATTTGTGGTCGGGGGTGACTTTTTTCTCCAGACCAATTTCGACTATTAATTAGCCATTTTCGAGCAGAATTTTCAACACTAGTGACATCATGAGCTCAAATTTTGAAAGATATTATACCAATAATTGTTTTTTGGAGAAGTCTTTGCGGTTTGCAAATTCTCAATTTCACTAGTTTGGGACAATTAACGCTCGAGATACTTCATACGGTTTACGCGTAGGTGAATATTTAATCCACTCATAAATCCTTCTAAAATGGATTGAGGCAAAATATTTGGAGTTACTAGCAGCTTCAGTTTGCACTTGACATAGCGTGTGAGGGGGAACTTCAAAAAACGCAAAAAAAAATTATGTTCCAAACTTTTTTGAAAACTTCACAATTTTTTTTTTCAATTGACTTGAAAAACAGTTTAAAAGACCTTGAAAGGCAGCCAGAACATTCAGGGGTTCGCTTTGAAGCGAGCATTCATTCTTTTTCATATTTTTAATTCTTTTTTTTTTAAACAAAATTAGATATAACTTTTGAACTAACACGATCTTGTTTTGACCACACAATTCCAGGTCGCATTTGAAAAATATTTGATTCAATAAGTTGCCAGAAAAGACTAAACAAAAAACCTTACTTATATACACGAAAGATTATTACAGGAGCGAAAATTTTAATTTTAATTAAATAAAGGCAACTCGCAAGAGTTTATATATATATATATAAACTCTTGCGAGTTGCCTTTATTTAATTAAAATTAAATTTTTCGCTCCTGTAATAATCTTTTGTGTATATAAGTAAGGTTTTTTGTTTAGTCTTTTCTGGCAACTTATTGAATCAAATATTTGTCAACTTTCAAAAAATTTCT